TGTGTTTAACAAAGCCTGGGTGTGGCACTGGGTGCCAGGGCTGAGTTGTTGGGGCTGGGTTGGACTCGATGGTCTTGGAGGTCTCTTCCAGCCTGGTGATTCTGGGAATTTTGGGAATTCCCAGTGATCGGGGAGGTGGGGGAGTCCCCATCCCTGGATGTGTTTAACAAAGCCTGGATGTGGCACTGGGTGCCAGGGCTGAATTGAGGGGTTGGGGCCGGGTTGGACTCAATGATTTTGAAGGTCCCTTCCAACTTGGCCATTCTGTGAATTCTGGGAATTTTCTTCCTCCTGCCAGAGACTTCTCCTGCTTTACGGAGCCTGGGGAGTGGAACCCCAGCCTGGGAACACAGCGGGAACAGTGCTTGACGCTTCTGCCCTCAGATTGTCTGGGACCGGCTGCAACCACAGGTCACCAGAGTCTCGTTTGGAGCAACCACCAGCCACGGAGAGCTGGGAAGAGGCTGCTGGAAAAGGTGGATTCAAAGGAAACTCCTCCTCACTCTGCAATCCTTGTCCCTTGGTGCCTCTGGCAGCTTCCATGAGGGCTGGACACAATCCAGTGATGGGGACAGACGGATGGAAAAACATGGATGAGGAAAGGGGGAAGGAATGGGAGAGCCAAGGGAAATGGATCATTCTAAAGAGAAAGAAGGAAAACCCCGGAGGACACCAGTGCAAGCCCAGAAGAACCTGCCCAGAGTTGTCTCCAAGCTCAGCAAGACAAGACCTCATTTTTCCCGGGATACAAAGATTGATCTTCCAAAATAAACCAGGCTCAGAGTTTTACTCAGCAGAAGGGTTTTGCATCACCTGGATGGACAAAGTCACCCTGACCAACCACTCCCAGGATTCTTGGCCGATATTATTTTTGGGACAAAATTAGTCTCCCCCCAAATTTAGGCAAGGTCAGAAGCCCACCTGACCTACAGACCCAACTTCCTTCAGAGAAAAACACGTTTAGGGCATAATTCATCTCATAATTTTATAAAATTATATTAAGTGGAGAATGATATATATAATATATAAAATTATATAAATTGATAAGTTAGGTGGGAGAACGTGCTCTAAATTGTGTATTTGTCTTCACTGCCTGCATTAGGACAGCAGACAAAGTGTTCAAAATGCGGGGAAAAGCCCTGCAAAAACCTACAAAAAGCGACACTTTTTGGGAAAACACGACTCGCTGGGGGCGTCTGGTTTGGCCAGATTCCCAAAGGGATGTCCAAACATCAAGAGGAATCTTGGTCCCACCTTTCCCTGCTGTGTTCCCTCTCTCACTCCCAGCCTTACCCTCTCCAATCTCCATCTCCTCCTTCTCCTCTGCCTCTGCCGCGGCCGCTTCCTGCTGCCGGAGTTGCTGGGGGAGAAAGGGAAGCCACTGGATGTTAGGAACAATCTTTTCCTGGAAAAGCTGCCCAGAGGAAAGCTGGAGAAAGTGGTGGAGTTCCCATCCCTAGGGGGATTTGAAGCCACATGAAGGCACCTGGGGACGTGGTCAGTGGTGGCCTTGGCAGTGCCGGGGGATGGTTGGACTCGATGGTCTCCAAGGGCTTTTCCAGCCTGAAAAATGTTGGGATTCCATAACTGTTGGAACCCAGGGCACAGGGAATTTATCTCTGCCCGTCCTAAGAGATCCTGATCCCCAGGAGAACACTAGTTTTAACCTTCATCCATGGAGAAAGCTTCCAAGACTTCGGGATTAATTGGAATCTACGAGTGTGTGAAATGGATAGTGGTGTAGTTTATCACAGGGTGAAAAATTTGGAGTTTTGGGTTTTTACTATGGGGGTGGGTAGGAGACAAGGTGGAGGATTTTGGACGTTGTCTGTTCTCCTTCTTGTTCTTCATCTGCTCCATTTTCTGCAGCGTTGGCGGCACAGAGTGATTGGTTAGGAAGAACAATGCAGACGTTGCATGAACAGACAAATAATTAACTATTGGTAGAAAGGTAGAAATAAAATATATTCTACGAGTTAATTGGACAAAACAGCTTTAAAAGACCTCGAACCCGTGTGTTTTGTGACTTTTGGTGCCTTTCTCTTTGTACGCTAAGTCTGAGATGTAGACAGCGTGCTGAACTTTTGGTAAGAGAAAAATAAACAAGAACCTGAAGACCAAAAAAACCAAAAGTCCTGTTGGTCTCTCAAAACTGGCACAGAACTTTTTAGGGGTCTCCCTGATGGTAAAAGGGTTTTAAAATAATATGGATTTGGGGAGTTAGAAGGAAAAATTAAATTTAGTAGGCTCTGGGAAAATACTCTGGGAAAGTACAGGCCTTGTGCTTGCTAGAACTGCACCTGTGTAACCAGTATATGATAAATGATATAATTGTTAGATGTGATGATTTTTTAGTCATTAAATATAATTATTATTTAATCATAAGAAAAATCATGAGAAACTGTGGTCAGCGGCTTGAGAAAGATCATAAAAAAATCATGCTTGAATAAGATCAATGTGTACAATAGAACAATATAAGTTTAATAATTAATATGTAAGTTATATAACGATAGAATATAAAATAGGTTCAGTTTGAAAGCCACGTTGGAGTCAGATTTGGGTCTGGAGCCCTGATTCCCAGAGCTCTTCAATAAAGCACCTGCAGATAATCATATCCCGTGATTATGTGTGTTCCTGGACGTTAACATCCCCATCGGGGGGATCCTTGGAGGTTCCACACATGAAGAAGCTCGGCCCCAAGGCTTTGGGAGGAGCTGGAATTAGGGGAGACCTCTCAGGAAGGGAACCACACACATGATGAAGCACGGCCTCAAGGCTTTGGGAGGAGCTGGAATTAGGGGAGACCTCTCAGGAAGGGAACCACCTCCCCTGGATGCCCCTCAGTGCTGCTCCTCACCCACCTCCTTCATCGTCTCAATGGAAGCGAAGTACTTGGACCACCAGTCCAACATGCTCTCGTCCGGCTCCTCCTCCTCCACTTCCTCCCCACCTCCTCCTCCTCCTCCTCCTTTCTTCTTCTTCTTCTTTTTCTCCTTCTCTTCCTCGGTCTGAAGGGAGAAGGGAAGCACAGACAGGGAAGGGGAGGGATCAGGGGAGAGGGAATCCTTGCTGGAAGTGCAGAGGTGAAGCACCTGAGCAGGGAGAACCCCCCAGGCTTGGGGGCCTCGTGAACTTTCTCCCTTTTCCAGCCACAGACACTGAGGCACGGAACACCCAAGGATGACCAAGGATTTGGAGAAAGGGCCAGAACCATGGAATGGTTTGGGTGGGAAGGGACCTTAAAGCTCTTCCAATTCCAATCCTGACACCTTCCACCATTCCAGGTTGTTCCAAGCCCCATCTGGCCTGGCCTTGGACGCTTCCAGGGATGGGGCAGTCCCACAACACTTCCCCATTTCCATCATCCTATTTATCCGTGCATTTCCCAGGCTACATCTCTGGAATCTTCCATGGCAAGAGTCAAACTGTGCCCAGCAAAGCACCTTGGGTCCCCTTGGGGGAGCAGGGGAACCTCTCCCAGCTGGTACCTGGTTGTGGTGGGAATACCCAAATCCCTCCCGCAGGGCACTGCCTGTCCTGGGATAGCTGGGATCAGAAATCCTGGGACAGCTGGGTTCAGAATTCCTGGGACAGATGGGATCAGAAATCCTGGGACAGCTGGGATAAGAATTCCTGGGACAGCTGGGATAGGAACTCCTGGGATAGCTGGGATCAGAAATCCTGGGACAGCTGGGATCAGAATTCCTGGGACAGCTGGGATCAGAATTCCTGGGACAGCTGGGATCAGAACTCCTGGGACACATGGGATCAGAAGTCCTGGGACACATGGGATCAGAATTCCTGGGACAGCTGGGATCAGAACTCCTGGGACAGATGGGATCAGAAGTTCTGGGATAGCTGGGTTCAGAATTCTTGGGACAGCTGGGATCAGAAGTTCTGGGACAGCTGGGATCAGAACTCCTGGCCTAAAATGCTCCCCAAACTGCAGGAACGAGGCCACTGGCACATCCCTTGAGGGGACAGCGCTGCTGTCCTGGGACAGATGGGATCAGAATTCCTGGGACAGATGGGATCAGAAGTCCTGGGATAGCTGGGATTGGAAGTTCTGGGATAGCTGGGATTGGAAGTTCTGGGATAGCTGGGATCAGAATTCCTGGGATAGCTGGGATCAGAAGTTCTTGGACAGCTGGGATCAGAATTCCTGAGACAGCTGGGTTCAGAGTTCTTGGGACAGCTGGGATCAGAATTCCTGGGACACATGGGATCAGAAGTCCTGGGACACATGGGATCAGAATTCCTGGGATAGCTGGGATCAGAAGTTCTGGGATAGCTGGGATCAGAATTCTTGGGACAGCTGGGATCAGAAGTTCTGGGATAGCTGGGATCAGAACTCCTGGCCCAAAATGCTCCCCAAACTGCAGGAACGAGGCCACTGGCACATCCCTTGAGGGGACAGCGCTGCTGTCCTGGGACAGAGGGGTGATGTCCCCGCCTGGCTCAGGTTGGGGAGGGTGCCTGGACCATCAGAAGTGGCATGGAAGGGCTGGAGAGGGAGCAGA